AACCTCCCCGAAGGAGACTCCGCCCTTCGGCGTAGCCTCCTTCGGGTTCCTCCCCGCCCGAAAGCAGAGAGTTCCACCGAACAGTCGGTTCAAAAGTGAACTATTGACTGACGATATTCAGTCACCCCCACGAGGGTGTCATGGGCACAAGGCCTTTTTAACGTGGGCATTCCGAGCCATTAGGCTCGGCCAAAAAATAGCCCATTTGAACCCGAATAAACGGGTTCAGGGCCGAGTTTACCTCCCCAAGGAGACTCCGCCCTTCGGCGTAGCCTCCTTCGGGTTCCTCCCCGCCCGAAAGCAGAGAGTTCCACCGAACAGTCGGTTCAAAAGTGAACTATTGACTGACAATATTCAGTCACCCCCACGAGGGTGTCATGTGGCACAAGGCCTTTTAACGTGGGAATTCCCGAGCCATTAGGCTCGGCCAAAAATAGCCCATTTGAACCCGCATAAACGGGTTCTGGGCCGAGCCTCCCGAAGGAGACTCCGCCCTTCGGCGTAGCCTCCTTCGGGTTCCTCCCCGCCCGAAAGCAGAGAGTTCCACCGAACAGTCGGTTCAAAAAGTGAACTATTGACTGACAATATTCAGTCACCCCCCCACGAGGGTGTCATGGGTACAAGGCCTTTTTAATGGGGCATTCCCGAGCCATTAGGCTCGGCCAAAAATAGCCCATTTGAACCCGTATAAACGGGTTCAGGGCCGGATTTACCTCCCCCGAAGGAGACTCCGCGCTTCGGCGTAGCCTCCTTCGGGTTCCTCCCCGCCCGAAAGCAGAGAGTTCCACCGAACAGTCGGTTCAAAAGTGAACTATTGACTGACGATATTCAGTCACCCCCCCACGAGGGTGTCATGTGGCACAAGGCCTTTTTAACGTGGGCATTCCGAGCCATTAGGCTCGGCCAAAAAATAGCCCATTTGAACCCGAATAAACGGGTTCAGGGCCGGTTTTACCTCCCCGAAGGAGACTCCGCCCTTCGGCGTAGCCTCCTTCGGGTTCCTCCCCGCCCGAAAGCAGAGAGTTCCACCGAACAGTCGGTTCAAAAGTGAACTATTGACTGACTTCTTGCCACCTCCCGAGGCGCAGTATTTATTAAGTATGGAATAGTCCATTATTATTATTATGGGTAAGATCCCATAACACTTTCTTTCTTTCTTTCTTTCTTTCTTTCTTTCTTTCTTTCTTTCTTTCTTATTATGCTTGTTTTTTCATTACAATCAAACTGCCTTTCTAATATATCTTTTTCTTCAGTCTTCTCTCGTAATCAAAAGATTGCGAGGGAAGACTGACGTAGTCCATTATTTATTTGATGTAATGGCAGGACGTAAGACAAGTACTGACTAACTATTAAGAGGAAAACAAGCAGAATTCTAATATGATATTCAGACTTCCTGAAACAACTAACAAGACATTAGCTACTGGGCTGCTCATGTAGTAAGTTGGGCCATCACCGTGTTCTCTTTGAACTATGGACCCAGACAATATTATAAAATATATTTTACGTACCCTGCCGTTTCATAGTTCATTGCTTGTGCAGTTTGATGAATAGATAGCGATCTTGTGGCAGACTAAACTAAACTAGGATAACTGGGATGCTTTTCATGGAGTGAATTTTATTAGGTTAGTCTTGCTTGTGTATCTTCGTTAGATTCGTCACAATTGTTGTCTTTTGCTAGACTACGTGAAGAAGAGTAAAGAATTATTCACATGCATGAAAATATATTAACCAGATTGGAGTAACTATTGCAAAGGAACAATTAGTAGAATTTGTCACGTTTGCAATTTTTTATTTTGTGCGTCTTAGAAAGTTATTTTTCGTACCTTTTTCATGCATGAGATTTAAAAAAAAAATTATTTAGCTGTTATTTTTAAATGCTTCCCTAATTATAGGTACGACTGATGACTATTCATTCCAGGAGATTTTCTGATATCCTATTGAGCCGACTTTGTTTTGAAATATATTTAATCTCCCACTATTTTGGATAAATTTCATGCGACCTCTAAAATCTCAACATCGATTAGAGAATCTGTAGTTTTGTTGAAAAAAAATAGTCAGCAATATTTTGGGTATATATTATTTGGTGAGTTGCAATGATTGTATATTGTCAATTATCTGTGCGCTTAACATTCATCAACTTTCAGAAGTTTCAACTTTTGGCCGAATTTCAGAGATCGCCTGTTTTTATAGGATAAAAAAAAATACTCTTTTCTTTGTTTCGAACAAAACCCACAACAAAGTGTCAGACAAATGTCTCAGATAATAGGTATCATTATTCCAGCAATCTCGACCATCTGAAAAAAAATGGTAAATGGGTTCCACATAAACTTAGTGAAAGTCAAAGAGTCAGCGTTTCAAAGTGTAGTCAATGCTGCATTTTCGAAATTCGAATGATCCATTTCTTGAGTGAACAGTGATTTGCTCCTTTATAACAAAGGTAAACGATCAACTCAATTGTTTGATCATGACGAAACAGCCAAACACTTTCCAAAACTGAAATAGCGCCAACACAAGAATATGGTGACTGTATGTGGGTCTGCCATTTGAGTTTATTCATTACAGTTTTCTGGAATCTAAAGAGAGAACATCTGCCGTAGTTTAATGCCATCAACTGGATGAAATGCACATTTAGTTAAGCAAAGTGCGACCAGTATTGGTTAATCAACGAGGTCCGATTCTGTTTTATGACAATGATCGGCCACATATTGTCAGAATGACGCTGCATATAATACTACGTATACGAGACTTTGACACATCCTACATATTCCCTTGATCTCTTGCCAACTAATTTTTCAAGCAGCTTGACAATTTCTTAAGCCAAAAAACATTCCGTTGCAAAGAAGATGCAGAAACTGCATTCAAAGATTTCTTGGTGTCCAGTTTTATTGTAAATGCATAAATAATATTCTAACTCGATGGCCTAAATCCTGTGTATGACGATAAACTACATCCGGGAGCAAGGCCTCTGATCGGGTGATTGGAGGTTTTGAGGAGCCTGGAGCTACCTCTTAGTTGTTGTTTCGAGGTCCCAGGTCCTGAGCCGGAATGGTAGCACCTGTTAGAGTCCGAGGTATGGGCAAATAGTGAATCTCCAAACAAAAACGAAATACTGTGTAAGTATAAAAATACATTTTTATAGTAAAAATACCAGCAATACATTTTTATACAAAAAATGACTAATACATATTTATAGTAAAATGACCAAAAATACATATTTATAGTAAAATGAGCGACAATTCATTTTAAAGCAAAATGACTAACAATACATTGTATCTGAGGGCATTAAATAAGCCATGGTGGTTGATATGCCGCTAAACAAAAACTATTCAACCAACAACTCGATCACTGAAATGTATAGACGTTCAGTGTTCCTATTTTGACTGATTTAAACACTGTTTAAATATATTCATCTCTATCTATAAAAGGCAGGATGTGTGTGTGTGTGTGTGTAACAAATGCACGGCCGCAATTTTCGACGGATTTGCACCAAAATTTACATGCACATGCTCCAAGTTAGCGGAAGGCCAAGACCGACTTTGCATTTCCCAACTCTAATCGATAGTGGAAATAATCGACATTTAATTTGAGGTCATTTTGTACTGGCCAGAGTAAGAGCCTATAGCTGGCTGCCACTAATAGGCAGGAAAATTCTATTGGCCAGCTTGAGAGCCAACAGCTGACTGACACGAATGTTAAATAGCATGCTAGCATGCAAAAAAATCGATAGCTGCATTCGTCACAAGTTGGAAAAATTTAAATCTGCATGGCACTTTACTCCAGTTGGTTCATTCGCTTGCTTAAACTCAACGTTGATTCTGATTCCGCAGAACTGGGTTGGGTGTGAAAAATTATTTGTTGTTAACATTCTTTTTTTCATTCGGTTTTTCCAGTTACGAATCCTGATCGTTTTGTGTTCATTTTTTTTAGTTCTTTTTTCGTAACAGATTTAATGTTTAGTATAGATCTTAGAAAAAATTCGCAGTGTGAGATAGGCAAGAAGTACCTAATAATATGTAAAAATTGAAACAAATGATTATTTCTAGTCGCAATGCCTATTCCCAAATTCCAGGAATTTTTCTAGCGACGATAGCGTAATAAGTAAGATATGTTTTTGTCTCGTTTGAAAGATTACCAGTTAAATATTATTAATATCATTAGCCCACCAGGCATCACTGTACTGAAATCAGCATATATATCGTCAGTAACAACGAAATGAAGAAGGGTAGAGAGACGACTATGATAATGAAATCAGTAATTGTTTTTTTATTATTTTCATTAGGGTATCGATAGATACATTAAGGAGATGGTAACAAGTAAAGTGTCGTAAAACAGCTGAAAACGCGGGAGATAAAGCCAGTGGGCAATTCCTGAAACTGGTTACTAATCTCTTTCTTTTTTTTTCTTTCTTTCTTCTGGTAACTCAATAAAAATCAAGTCACAATTGGCTGCCGACTTGTTCTCACCTTGTTTCTGTGAATGATTGATTTGCTTAATTTCACCAACGTTGCTAGCGAGCACGTGACCGATACCTCGACTAACTCAGCAGCGCCACCACGATCATAATACGCTAGACCACCGTCGAACCTCCTTCACAGCCTTTCATAACCACCGCATCCCCTGCTCAATTGCAAAAAGACACCCATTTACGTTCCACCAACCCGCGCCATGAATTTTCCAGATTCGGTCTTCAAAAATAATTAAAGGTATCAATTATTTCATCGACAGCCGCCACTTGTACCTCCGGCTCCCCCAGTCTTACACCCCCACCTTATTGTTCTACTCCCTTTTGATTCATATTTCCTCCTTCCACCTCTCTCTTACCTCTTTTTGGCTTTCTCTTTGAATCGATCAGGTTTTGCCTGTTTGATTCATTAATTGTCATTTCAGTATAAAGAAACAAAATTTTAAAAAATGCTAAAGTAATAGGAAAAATGAAATAAAAAAGAAACAAAACAAATTTGTAAAAAAGTAATTGGATTTGGAACCAATAACATGTTTTGTCATGAGAAATATAGCAAGAGAGTTATAGAGAGAGACAGAAAAAGATACAGAGAGAGATAGTGAGAGATAGAGAGAGATAGAGAGAGAGAGGAATATGTGAGAAAAAGGGAGAATACTTTGAGAAGGAGAAAATAAGAGAGAGAAAGAGAGTGAGAGAGAGAGAGAGAGAGAGAGAGAGAGAAAGACAGATCAAAGAAAAGACAAAGTGAAAGTGACAGAAAGATAAATATTGAAATGTTTAAAAGAAGAAAATTGTATACAAGAAAACGAAAGAAAAAGAGAGAAAAAGAAGACAAGAAGAAAATAAAATTAGAAACCTGAGAATGAATGCAAAGAAAAGTAGGAAGAAGAAACAAGAAGAAAATAACGGGAGAGAGAGAGAGAGAGAGAGAGAGAGAGAGAGAGAGAGAGAAGAAATGTAAAGAAAGACGGTTAAGACAATGAGGAAATATTAAAAAAAGAAAGAAAGAATAGAAAAAAGAAAGAAAGAAAGAAAGAAAGAAAGAAAGAGAAGTAATGGAATTATATTGCTAGAGAGGGTCAGATAGGTATTTACGAACGAGCTGGCAGTTGGGAAAAGAGAAAATATTTGTCCTCCTATGGACGCTACAAAAAGGTGAAAGATGGCCGATTCTTTCCCAGTTGTGTTTGGCGCATATATAAAGTTCTTGTGCCTTGTGTATTTTGTTATCAATAATAAAAAGCAAGAAGAAAATGACCAGTGAAAAAGAAGAAAAGATGACCACCCATATTCACACACACACACACACACACACACACACACACACACACACACACACACACACACACACACACACACACACAGATATATCGAGAGAAGCGACAATTTCAGAAATAATGATGCTGTCGTGGATTTTACAACTGTAAAAATGTACTAGCCGTTAAGGTGAAGATGTATCAAATTAGGAATTGGGATCGATAATCAATAATCGATATGTTAAGTATAAATCACAGCGGAATTGCCATAGCTGAACAGAAAGTAGGAGAGAGAGAGAGAGAGAGAGAGAGAGAGGAAATTTAAGGGGGAATTGTGGCAAAGGTCAATTGTCAAATATATGTGTGTGCTTGTGTGAGATACAAGCATAATCACGCATACCCTCTCGTGCACACACACATATACAAATACACCGCACGCACATACACACACACATATTTATACATGCATATATGCACGCGTATTTGCAATCATAATCACGCACGCGCGCGCGCACACACACACACACACACACACACACACACACACACGTCCGTGCGGGCGAACGCTCGCATACACCAATACTGTGTCATCTAAAAGTTTAGTGAATTTCACTACAAAAATATATTTCCATGCCAGTCGATTTTTCAATATCTTTTAAAAATTAGTTCAAATGGCTTACAAATTTCTCTTCACAAAGAACAGCAGCCACATTTCGTACTAAATTCAGTTCATGCACACTGTTTAAATTGCCTGAACATTTGGTTGGTTATTACAAGCCCTCTAACAGATATCTATCTATCTATCTATCTATCTATCTATCTATCTATCTATCTATCTATCTATCTATCTATCTATCTGTGTGTGTGTGTGTGTGTTATATAGCGCACCTATGAACACTAATGAGTTTGTCTCAATCCTCATAAATACGTTGGATATTATTGTAAGTGGGGGTAATATGCTGTCTAAGTTGTTCACCACCAGCAGTGGTTTACCTACTTCACGCCGCTGGCGAGCAATGTATTTTCGTGATGTTATAAAGATTACCATTTTATTTCCAACTTCCCTTTTGGCTATTCATCATTCAGTAACCTTCCCTAGGTTACAACAATAATAATATATATATATATATATATATATATATATATATATATATATATATATATATATTTCTTCTAGTCCAATGTAGAATACCTAAATTGTTTCATAAGAATGTTTGTATTATTCTCTGACACATTTTACTAACAATCCCCTCTATTCCATCTCTTCCTGTTCGATCCCACCTTTTTCTACTGGATTTTCTATCAGTTGTGCCAAATTATGCAACCTTTTACTCCGTCTGTTATTTTTTCTTCATATTATGTAGCCGCCCTTATCCATTTTTTTTCAATCAGTTCTATATTTTCCATCTTGGTTTGTTCTCTAATTCTCTTTCAGTTGGTTACAGTTAGCTCGGCATCACTCTTTTGTTACTCTGTCCATTCATCTTTGTGGATTTTTGAGTTTGTTTTCAAGGGATTTTGTCAATTTCCATGTTTCGTGTCCGTACGTCAGAACTGGCAATATACGGTCATTGTTCGCTTTAAGTTTTAAGTAGATAGATAAGCTCCCCCCCACCGTATAACTGTTTTTTTTTGTTAAAATGTCTTTGCCTCAATTATTATACGGTTACTTTATTTCATTTCCCGTGGTCAGTATTTATAACTTGTCCTAAACATATGTAATGTTGGACTTATTCATTTCTATTTATTTATAATTTTTTTCTGATTATTATGATTGAATATTGTTTTTTATTACATTTTTGCTCATTTCAACGTACTTTCACTATTCAGGTCATTTTGTATTACTTGTAAATCATTCGATTTCATCTGAAAATCATAAACTGTACCGATATTCTTCGTTTTTGCTTGCTTCAAGACCTTCCTTCTTTATTTGTGATTCCTTCAAGGACAGTTGAAAAGAATTTAAATTAAATTCTCTTGTCTTGTCTCACTCTTTATCCAGTCTTTATTTTATCTATGTCGTTATGAAGTCAAATTATTATCGTAATGCCATTGGTATGCCTATCTACTGGGTCGGCCAAATCAAGCACATTTGCGTTTGTCCAACACCCACAGAGTCCACTTGTCGTTGCTATTGTAGCGATGTTGAGCGGAACCTAGTTACAGTTTTGGGGAGAGAGCGCATTACCTGGCGTGATCAACGATCTTAACAAAGCCAGTGCTCGTCCTGGATAAGACGATAAACTACGCCCAACAGCAAGTACTCTGATCAGGAGGTTTTGAGGAGCGCGGAACCACCTCTTAATTGCTGGTGTTCCTAGGTCCACCCTGACCCGGGGTGGTAGTACCTGTTAGAGTCCCAGCTATGGGCAAATAGATAGATACAGATAACTGTATCAAACTTACAGCAACCGCCGTCTGTCTAACTCTCTGCATTAGCAGGGAGGAACCCGGACGAAGCTTTGCCGAAGGGCAAGGTTGCGTTCGGAGAGGTTGACAGCTCTCGAGCCCGCCTAGGCGGGTTCGAAGGCTATATTTTGGCCGAGCCTACGGGTTCGGATGACCCACATTAAACTCGGCCTTGTGCCACATGCTATGGGCAAATAGTTAACCCCCAAACTGGGGTCAAAATACTATGAGATTTGTAAAAAATTATTACCAGCAATACATTATTTCCAGCATTACATTTTCGAGAAAAAAATATTACCAGTGATACATTTTTTAAGAAAAATATTACAAGAAATATATTTTTGAAGGAAAAAAATTACCAGCAATAAAATTTTGTTGGTATAAAATGACCCATTGAGGTTGATATGCCGTAAAACAAAACAAACCAACCAAGCCAGTGCGTTCAAACCTCGGTCACAATGACTTGTGACTTCGTTCTACCCAATAAGGCCGATAACATCAAGATGCCACCTTCCTGATAAATCAACCATGATGTAATTCGAACTCATGGTTGGAAGGTGAACGTTGTAACCACTCGGCTACGCGCCCATATAATATTATATATATTCTTAATAACTTTTATATAGATTTTAATACTCTACTTTTGTAGTGAGTTAAAGTCTGTCGTATTTTCTGCTTAGTCAAATGCTTTTTCAACCAAATCTAAAATATATATATATATATATTATAGTCTGTTGTTTTTTTGTTCAGTCAGTTGATCTATAGTTTGTAGATAGTCTGTTGTTGAGCCATTCTTAAATTTGACCGTTCGTGTGATATTTGAATAAAAATACTTTTGATAATAATTTGTCTAGGTTCGATACCAATGTGATAATTATTTATCTCCTTTTATATATTGTAGAATTAATATTCAAGGCAGTAATTTTCAGGTACTTTTCCTTCTTTATGCACTGGTTAATAGTTGTGCAAATCTTTCATGAAAATCTGCTACATCCCTCGAAAAGTCTGTTAGTATGCCATCTTTTTTTCTCGCGTTTCACATTTTGAAGTGTAAGCTTTATTTTATGATTTATTTCCTCGGGAACATCACTAGTATCTACTGGAGTAACTGCTGGCAGTGGTTTTATTTTCTAATATACAGATTTGTATAGTATACATTGGTTGGTATTAATATCAAGTGCCGATATTTAGTAACTGTCTCGTTTCTGGTTTTTAATGCATTTTTTTTCCATTTTTCTGTATTACAGTTAGTAGATTTCAATCTTTTACCTTTCCTGGTGGCTTCTGTTCTTTCCATATTCATTTTACCTTTTCTTAGCATCTCATTTTTTTCTGATTTAATTCTGCATTTTCAATTTTAGCTCTCTGTACTGATGGTTATTTTCTCTTCTTTTTCATCAGTGTTGGCTGTGAGTTGTCTCCCTTTCTTATTACCGTTTGCCATTTGTTTTCTCTGTTACACTTATGGCTTCCTTAATTACAGTTACCAATTTGCTATTCATACTTTCTATGTTATTTTTGCTAATCCACAAAACCAGGAATCTGCCCTTGATTTCCACCTGAAATTCTGTGATAAATTTATTCGGATACTTTTCCTTTTTGTGAATCATTTTGACTTTGTCAATTTGCGGGTCAAATTTGTTCATTCGATCGTCGCTTAACTTTATGGCTGTTTCATCCTTAACAGTGCTATCTTTGTCAGCAATTATGAAGTCAGTTTCATTTGATGGTACTTCTCTTGGGCTTTGTCAAATTAATTTGTGGCCTCTTCGTTTTTTTAAATCACCAATCCGGCATCAGAAATCCAGTACAATCATTAATCCGGTTTAAATTTCATCGAATACAAAAACACGGACTGCTAATAATGTCTGGTGGCACTAGCTGCTGCATCATCTGGTTTTGAGTAACTGTTAAACACCGATAAGGTACTTCTAGTTATCTTTTTTAGTCGATACATGACTGCAAGAATACAGGATGTGGTTTCTATTGTGTGAAGCAAAAACATGTTACCCATAACAAAAAGAACTTCTGAAAATTTGATTTCATCTAAATTTTTCCTCATTTTCTTTTAAAGCTTTACTTTGGAAGTGACAGTGATACACATTCTTATGTAATTCATCAGAATTACTTGTAACATTGATCTGTATTTGATTAGCATTTAATTTTCTTTTTCCCTTTATTAACCAACATATACTGATTTTCAGGGTATTTTAAAGGTTTAAATAACCATCAACAATCCGGCAAAACACATACCAAATAAAGGCTTCAATGGTACCGGATAAGTGATAGACATTATGACTATGCGTAACCCTCCGTTAGTCACATCTAGTGTTCTCTAACCCCACAAATTTTTAACGTACTCGTAATTCCTAGTTTCTCTTTCTCTCTTTCCCACTACACTCCTGGCTCAGTGAGGGTGCGTAGTACGCAGTGTAGCACAGTTTTAGCTCAATTGTTGAGGGAGGCAGGCGCCGCTTTGTCTTCTTCTGGGTGTCCTGCCACCCCACCTGACTAACTAAAGTTTTCATGATTTATAATTTTTTATCAGCAATATTATTGGTCCTAGCCTGGCATCTCGGCTCCACTCACTTTCCCACCGTCATAAAGTTGCTTCCCTGTGCCTTTTCTGTAATTACTTACATGGTAATTGTTCATATGAGCTGTTCGCTGTGGTGCCACGACTTTATGAATTTAAGCGCAGTACTATAGAATGGCAACAAGGTCTCATCAATTTAGTTGGCTAGATATAACAATTCTATGCTAACATTAGTTTTGCTCGCACTTCTACATTGTGGAACTCTCTTCAGGTGCCATGCTTTCAAGACAACTTGAATCCTCAAATTTTTAAATGCAATGTCAATCGTTATCTACTGTATTCCTGATTACTCTTCTATTGTTCTGGCTCCTTAGTAACATTTCTGTTTTATAATTTTTCCACACTGAGTAATCCCTTGTGTCTTTGCGGCTTTATTGCCTTGCTTGGGGTGAATTCGATTAAAGATAAAAATAAAAGATATATATATATATATATATATATATATATATATATATATATAAGGTGACCCAAAAACGGGAATTTTTGAAGTGCGTATTGCCAGATATGAGCAAGTGGCAACACTGCGAGACAGTGACCTTGAGCAAGTAAACATTTCGGCATTTAGAAT